AGCAGATGGATGAACATGCAGGGCCCTCGCCCGCACTTGATCACTTCATCAAACTGAAGATGGGTAGCGCATGCGTCGCATACCGGTAAGAGCTGGGCTAAGGGCAGCCCGAGCCAACCTAAGTGACCACACGACCCTAACTCCAAACTCCCATTTTTTCCAATCTGGGAGTAGACCGCAGAAAATAGGCCCGAAATGGCAATTCCAACCTCTCTGGTGGTTGGCAATTGTACTTCCCCATACGTGGAAGCGAGGAGGAAGGCGGTTGCCTTCTCTTGATAGCTGCATCTATCTACCAGGAGAAAAGACCTGAAAAACGATCTGTGTATACAACACGCGTGCAGATTTGAGGGGGAAGTAGGAGGCGGGTTTCACTCTCTCTCTATCCAAGAGTAACTGTTTACATACCTGATTCGAGACCATCCATCCAATGCTTTCATCACCGGCCGCATCAACAAGGGTTTGATTGGCACAACGAGTGAGTAAGAGCTCAGCGACTCGCATCTTAAAGAGGCGCTCCAGTCGGAGATCGTGCGGTTGATTTGGATCACTGGACTGCACGAAATTTGCGATGTTAATGACAGTGTCATCGATGATGCGCGGACCACTTGGGTAACGGTTGGTGAGGTAGCGGCAGAACTCTGTCTGCATCAGACCGCCAGGCAGAAAAGTGGCCGTGCAGACCAGCATGAGGAAGGCAGTCGCGAAGGTGAGAACTACACCACTGAAAGAACGGGGGAGGGAGAAAAACAAGAGTCAGTTAAGCAAGCCCACAAGGTAGCTTATGACGGAACTACGGTAGATTGTATATCTGATGAAATGTGAACATCACAATTTAAGTGGGACAGTTAACACACAACTGAAGTTGTTCATTTTATTCAGTGAGTTGACTTGGGGCGTAAAGGACTGTTTATTATGAAACGGTTCAGGTCAGATGAGTATACTGGGACAAATAGGGGCGGAAGGGGGCCAACGACTACCATAAAGGCAGCAAGTAGCCGCGTCCGCAATAGGCTATCGATCGGCCTACGCGCGAGCTAACGCATTGTGCTAGAAAATCAGTCAATAATTTGAATTTCTAGTTACATTCACTCGTTGAATCAACAGAAAATAATACCGGCGACTATTTCAGGAGAGAATCTGATTGGCTCAAGGGACATCGTTTACACGCGTTTGTTTCCTAAGTACGTTGTACCTCATAAATTAAGAGACTTCTGCCGTTGCACACTTCTTGTCGTGTTCCTCCTCTGGGAACTCACACAAGGCGTTATTGGGCGGTGATATCTCGGCCTGGGCTTCAGTTACAACAGTTTATTTTGTTCAGTGAGGTGACTTGAGGCGTAAAGGGCTGTTTATTATGAAACAGTTCAGGTCAGATGAGTATACTGGGAGAAATAGGGGCGGAAGGGGGCCAAGTCAAACGCTGGGTGATATCGAAGGGATTTCCTATGCCATGAGAATCTGCGGACCAAAACCTCTTGCTTGTGCGTGATGCAATGTAAAAAACCCTAATAAAGACCAGAAATTTTTTAATTATATTTGTTCAGAGAACGGAAAATTTTATTTTGCGTTCATGAAATTGCGGTAAATGCACGAATGAGATAACGCATAATCATCGGAAAAAGAAGAGCGGAGTCAGCTTGCAAAATTCTGTTTTACGAATCTGTTACGTTTAGTGCCATAAAGAAAAGAAATAAACCTACGGGACCGTAAGTTATTTGACTACCCCGAAAATAGGGGCCTTTGCACAAAGAGACCTTCCCTGAATTTAAAATGTATGTTTACCTAGTACAGCCGATTGCAACTTTTTCGGAATTTCCCGCTTTTCTAAAAATGCTAGTATTTCTAAACAATTTAATATTACTTGATTAACCGCAGTATGCCTTCGTTTTGAGAACCATCTTTCCTTTACCGCTGTAAGGCTTTGGGGGACGCAATGTCAGCTGCGTTTGCGTGACAGAGTCTCTTGGAAAAACTATTGGAGTTTATGAGTTAGAAAGCACCTACTGTACATGGTAAGTGATACACACACAGAAAACAGATAGTCCTGAATAGACATCCCGGAGGATAAACGTATCGCCCACGAAATCCTAGATTCGACCTTCAGTGGGGGATATAAATGTCCAAGAGAGCGGGAATACGAGATACCGATTGGGCATCACCAGAACCCAAAGAGCATGCGCACACACGTACAAATCGGAAATGAAAATCCGTTTTTTCTCGCCGTAGGCTGCCAGTATCAACGCAGACAAAGGCCGGCCCTGCCTTGTGGTGCACCCTGTGTTATGGGATTCACCA